TTTACACCGCTTAGAGTTCTTAGACTTCTTAGAGTTCTTACTTCTAAAAGTTCTTCGAGTTCTTAAAATCACAGTCTCGCCACTATACCGCTTCGTAAAATCGCCGTGCTAACCGCTTAGTGAAATCGCGATAAAACGAATCTTTCCGAGAAAATCGCCGAGATTTTCCATCACCGCGATTCCAAATACAATTTTGGAAAAGGTGACCGCATTTGATATATTGTTAATCTAATATTTAATTAATTATATTTTTTTGACTTTGTAACTGATTATATTAAAGAAAATTCTTTTGTTAAATTAAAAGAAACGGAGCTCTCTTTACTGTCGTGCCTCATATCAACCTTGTGCCGTTCTCTCACTCGAACCTTTCCGCGCGGTGCATTCTCGCACATTTTCTGGTCCTTCGAGCCGGATTTGAACTAGCGAGAAAGACAGTAAGACAAACGCCGCATCACTTTAAAAATTTCACGTCAGCGCTCTCGCTCTGGTTCGCTCTCGCACAAAAGTTCATCATATTAATTGCTATTGATATGTTGCTTTATACCTATAAAACATTTTGATGTTATAAGATATTAAAAAAATATATTTTTATCTCTGTATTAATATGTTAATTTAGTTTTTCGTTGGATGCAATATAGTACAATACAACATATGATATACAACATGTAATATAAAGATAAATATAAGTTTTACAATAAAAGAGTTTGTACATTAAGTGCAGATTCGTACAGTTAATTATTTTGTATTAATGATTCCGCTATTCTCTTTTTATTATAGCTTCATTATTATTTACTACTTCCTGCTATCTCTTCTTGCTCTTCCTCTAACAGTTCTTCATCATTTTCATAATTAGTTTCATTATGATCTATTAAAAAGTTATGTAGAACACAAGCTGTTGCGATCATTTTATTTCCAAAATCAAAATCAGCAATATCTAAATATTTTAATCTGCGAAATTTACTCTTTAAAAAAGAATATTCTCGTTGATCTTATAGTAGCTAGTAGTAGCCAGATTAGTATTATATATAATATTATTTGAGTTCTAGTAAGATGGCCTGTGTCCCAATAAGGTATTAATAAGTTCACTAGTAATGGATACGCTGCATCGTCAATAATATGACGATCAGGTGGTAACAAGTAATGTTTTAATCTTTGAAAAATTTCACTCTGTCTAAATACACGTGCATGCGTCCCGGTAATCCTACAAATATGTCTATAAAGCGTCCTTTATGATCACATACACCTGTTTTAAAAAGAAAGCAAAATCATAGTAATATTGTAAAATATTATTATATATTATAAAAACAAAATTGAATTACAAAAATTAAATCTTAATAAAAAATAATACCTTGTAGGATAATAAAGTGAAAATCTTTTCGATTGAAATCATTAGGATTATCTATAAAAGTTTTGCATGGTATATGACATCCATCAATAATCCCTACTATCCCTGGGATACCACGAGAACGTCTCTTAAATACCTGTGATAATTTTAGATAATTCAATATACATATATTAAAACAATTTAATGTATGTGTACAAACAACT